GTCTCCATGGAAACACCTATATCACTCAGTGATGATGTAGGCACCTTCAGCAGATAAATCCAAAAGTGAACAAAACACACATCCTGGATTCCATCAGTAGACCTCATCGAGTAAATAATGATTCCTAGCAACCTGTTTAATCTCTTGAACAATTAGTCTGGTGGGATATGAATTTTTTCATATTTATAACTTGACATTTGGGTGTACATGATTGTAAATGACTTTGTGTTCTGAGTGGTATGTATCTCCAAACACCAGTAATAGTTATTCACTACTTAAACATCTATAACTGGCGTAATAAATTCAGTTCTATGGATCAAAAATTAAAAAAGCTCAAGTATTCCAATAAAAATCCTTATTCTTTTTGAATCAATAGTGATTTATATGAATCATATCTAAGTTCAGTTGGCAGAACATAACTGATTCTAACCAAAGGAAGAATTGGAAAAGCAAGACAGGCATTCACTATCTTAAAGTCGATGTGAAAGACTGTTGCACTCAGAATAAAAAAAAACAAGATTCGGATTTTCAGCAGTAGTGTTGAGTCAGTCAGTGTTTCTATACGGTTCAGAGAGACATGGCACAATCAGCACGAAAAGCATTCCGAACAGGAGTCAGACATTTAACAACAGCTGTCTTCACTGGCTCCATACTGAAGACTCAATGAACAGGAAGGATAGGCGATAGAAGGCACTGGCAACGAATCAACCCAGAACCTCTTGCCCGAAAAATATGCAAAAGGAAATGGAGATGAATTGAATACACGCTGAGGAGGCTGTCAAGTTATGTCACATGCCAGCTAGAGCGTCGAATGGAACCTGAATGGGAAATGGCATGCTGGGCTTCGTCCGAAGGTGAAATGGTGGAGATGAAAGCTGAAGAGGATTGTAGAGAACAAGGTGAAATGGAGATGTGCTTCTGAAGTCTTTTGTTCTATTCGTGACCTAAGGGAATAATAATAATATTAGAATTTCAACCAATGAAAGCACCTTTCCGATGAAGTTTGAATCAATTATTCTACACATAAATCATAGTAAATATTTTCATAACACTGGATTATTTCTATATTTTGTTACAGTTGATAATTTCTTGCAATTTAATTTCTTTTTAATCTAATCAATTGATGGCCTTATTACGCAATAAAGGAGCAAGAAGCATGAACATAAGATATTTGAAACCTTCGGCCTGGTATCTATCTGTTCAGTATACAAACCAAAGAGTGTAAACAATTAATTTTTGTTTCATTATTGATTTTTTTTCACGATACACCTATTCATGAATCACTGTCAGTTTGGTGTACCGAGTGTTTTTTCATCCTTATATGTGTGATTCACCACAAAAATAAACATAATATATTTAAAAGTCATACCCAGTATGCATTGTTACAAAAAACTGTTATTCAGCCATTTGATGGGAATCCAGTTTTCTGTTTTTCAAATTTTCCCAATTTATCGTATGTCTTTATCAACTTCCAGTGTCAGTGGGGGCTTGTGATTTAAAGTGAGACATAATACTTTGGAGTTTACGAGGACAATATTATCTGCAGTCATGTTTGTTAGTTAAATAAAATTAATCAGTGGAAACATTGTACTAACAAGTTTCGTTTATACAGCTGTAGAAATTGACCTCATTCTGTGAAAGGGAAGCTCAATAGCAGGCGAAGGTTAGGTTAAAGTGGTTATTTATGAGAACTCTATTGATTCCTGATTAAACCAATATGCTGAAAATATGGAACAAAACTATTCTAGTTACTAGCAGTGTTCACTAACCAGTATAAAGTTAACAGGCTGCCAGAAGGAAACTGATGATATATAACAAGATATTAAACAGCAATCAGCAGAAACTTCGAAACTTAAATAGTGAATTTGTTGGTATCAATAAATACGAATGCAACAAGCAATAAAGGTTAATAAAGCAGGATTTAATGAATTCATCAAATTTCGGTAGAACTCGTCAGCTGAATACTCTACATACGCGGATATATATACTGTTGAAATTACATTGGGAGATATAAGACTGATAAGTGAACAAACTACATTGAATTAGTCATACAGAAAGACAGGTGCGAATGTTTTCCAGGTTATGTTCAAATAGATAAGGGGAGAGAGAATATGAGAGATCAAAATTAAGATAAATTGCATTACACTTCGATTACATCACTTAGATAAACAATTAGTGTTTGTGGAAGCAAATACATAGGTCGTACGGAAAGGCGATTGTCTATTCGCATGATGGAGCATTTGCCAAAATGGTTGAAAACAGCTGAGTGTAAAGTGCCAAAATCCTCAATAACAAAGCATCTTGTGGATTACGGACATGATATCGACGCGGTCAAGTCATTCACCATTGTCAGCAGACAAAGAAACAAGAAGATGCTTGCAATTGCAGAGGCTTGTGCAATTCGAGTTTACAAACCAGGTCTCTGTGTACAAAAGGAGATGGTCGTGACTCTGAATCTACCATGGTAATACGTTTTACTTATTATTCTACCTCTTATTATTATTCTTGATTCATTTAAAACTATCCTTTATCAGTAGGATTATCTTAACTCACTTCAACACTATTATTATTATTGTTATTATAACTATTACTATTGATATTACTCTGGTTGCAATTCTTGTTATATTCTCTAATGACTAATTGTTTATCTAAGTGATGTAATTGAAGCGTAATGCAATTTATCTTAATTTTGATCTCCCATACTCTCTCTCCCCTTATCTAATTGAGCATGACCTGGAAAAACATTCGCACCTGTCTTTCTGTATGACTAATTCAATGTAGTTTGTTCACTTATCAGTCTTATATCTCCCAATGTAATTTCAACAGTATATATATCCGCGTATGTAGAGTATTCAGCTGAAGAGGAGTTCTACCGAAATTTGATGAATTCATTAAATCCTGCTTTATTAACCTTTATTGTTTGTTTTAAATTCGTATCGGGAAATAAATGTTTTCAAATACGAATGAGATTTTAACTTTCATTATCAGGCTTTATATAGTGGGTGAGTTTAGCACTATAGCAGGAAATATAATTTGCATCTAGTAATTAGTGTAAATTGTGAGACTTTTAACAGAAGTCACGTGAAATAAAAACTGACTGGTGAAAATCATGGTAGGAACAAGATTTATTGATGGAAATGATATTTATTAAATGAATGAAATATTTTAGCACTATGAATTGTAATTCGCTTGATCGATAAGAATTAATCTGTATCTACTATGTTCTTTCCGTAAAACGGATATGTACTGACTTATAAATTCTGAGACATCTATGTGGTTAATTTTGTAACTATTTACTGAAATCTACTTTAAGTTAATTGTGTTCTCTGAGCTGGTTAACTTAACTGTGAAGCTTTCCTCGTCCTCCTAGACAACATCTTCAGAGCATCTTCTTCAAAAAGAATGGATATCCTCACAGTTTCATCAAAAAGTGTTTAAACTCGAGTTATAACACCAACAACAAGCCATCATCAAAGACCACAAGAAAATTCATCCTGCAATATAGATAAAATATCTCTGAAATAACAGCTAGAATATTAAGACCGTTTGAAATAGACATGGCACACAACCCAGCACAATCAGTTTATTCGATAATGTGCAAACCAAAAGATCCAACAGAAAAAGAAGATAAAGTTAATACCATTTACAAAATAAACGTTTTGGACTGTAATAAACATTACATCGGTCAAAGTGTGCGTCCCCTCCGAATCCGAATCTAAGGACACAAATTAGCTGTATAAAGGCATGATATATATACTTCCGTACTAGTGCATGTGGATAATTATGGACACCAATTTGATTGGGATAATGTAGAAATTTTATGTAGAGGAAACATCAAAAATGCCAGAGAATTCCTAGAAGCCTGGTACTCAGATGAATTAGTGATTAACAAACGCATTATTATAGACCAAATTTACCAGCTAATAAAAATTAAATCGCATGACAAGAAAGTTCAAATTCCATGTCAACCAAAATCACGAATAGAGACGTAAATTGACATCCAGGCACGACAGTGGTTGCCAGGAAATACAGTTACATCATTCATGGAGAGTTCAAATAAGTTCATTTTATACTAAAACATGGGCCGAAGATCTTGTCTAGAAGGCCGACGAAACCTTCGCAGTTAAATCAACCGACTCAGAGAACACAGTTTATTCAATATCATCCGCCTGAGCTGCAAATATTCTCCATTGAAACCTGTTATACTCATCAGGAGTCGTTACTGTTCACTTAACATTATTTCAGACTTATGCGTACATAAATTAAACAATAGATCGGAAGTTTGGTTACGGCTTAATATCAGTAGGAGAACCACCGAATACCATGGAGTATTATACGTTTGTTTCATCCTATTCGAAGACTCTTCATCAGATACACTCATGGCCACAAAGGGATCAAACCTAGGGCGTTCAGGATATGAAGTCAACCTAATTGACTTTTTAGTTACTTCAACCAAGATTTAATAGTCCATGAATTTTAACTTCTGTCACTTCATGATTTTAGCATGACCGTGTGTGCATAGTGTCGAAGAGTCCCAAACTAGGCCGAAACAGCTGTCCAGTACTCCCTGGTTTTCAGTGGTTCTCTAAGTGATATCAAACTTGAAACAAATGAAATCCTTACAAATTAACTCTTGTAAATAAAAGCTTAGCTTACCAATTAAACATTATCGTTATTGTTCATTAAAACATCCAATATCGCTTGAGGTTATTACTTCTCATGAATATATCCATCAGAATCGTTCGCATATTAATAATTAAGATATTATTTAAATTATATGTATCAACAGTATAATATCACTGGTGATTTCTAAAGCATTCGATATTGAAGTTTGTTATTATTATTATTATCGTTATTATTGAAAATGGTTTTCTTCTTTCTACAATTATGAGACATCATTTTAAACAAATGTAGACATAATACACATACAGCATTTATATTGTCTCAAATAAATGTAGAAATTTGTGAAGTTATAAAAAGAATGAAGAAAAAAAAAGAAAATGGATAACAATGAACAATGCAAAGTAAAATTCGATGTTCAGTCTGAAAAATTCAATATTTCAATCCTTATGCTCCCTTCACTTTATGTAGTTGATATAATACCTAAGAATAACAATATTAATCATAATACTACTACTACTACTACTACTAATAATAATAATAATAATAATAATAATAATAATGGTAGTAGTAGTAATATAGAATTATATGCATATGTATGATAGAAAGTGTTGTTGAAAGATGATTTGGGAAACAGGATACATAACTAGTGTAGTAAGACAATAATGAATGACCAGTTTATTGGTTGTGAACTTTATACTACTTAGAATGAGATTTATGCATTTGTGTATATGTGTAAAATGTACATTGGATTGAATTTGAACACTATACACATGTATATATACATGTGTATATGTAATATACCATACATATCTGTTGTCTGTATTTTGTAAAAAATAAAACGAAATCTCTCACTCTACTAGTAAACGATGTATCCATTCGCATTTTGTTCATGTGCATGTATGCATGGATTTTTTTTGATGGAAGCAACAAAAAACAAACAACAAAAACATAACAGGGTGTATAAAGGCAAAATGAAAATGTCAGAATGAAAGATGTGCAGTAGTAAGTAAGAATTGAAAGAAAAGGAGGGAAGAGAAGAGAAGAGATGGAGAGAAAGAGAGAGAGAGAGATGGAGAATAAAATGAAGGAACCTATCACTATTACTGCATATAATTCTCTCCTTTAGTATTTACACAAATACAACACATATGTTACCGATTTACAGGTGTGTTGAGTGATAGTTTTTTCCCCTTCCCCTTCATCATCTTTTATTTCTGTTCAAACAAAGAGAACAGTATTACTGACTAGTTCAAGGAAAATTATTATGAATTTTCAACTATCTTACAAAATAAAAAAAAATAAAAAACACGAATCATATTTAAGTTCTAAGTATTTAAACATCTGTAGTTTATGTGTCCAAGTTTTAAAACACCAAAATGTGAATGAACTTACTTAGTAATTAAGAAAAGAAAATTTTAAAAAAAAAGATGAAAACTGAATCAATTTTTGTTTCTAATATCAATTTTACTACATGGTTTGAAGTTGGTTTCAATGTGAGTTTCATCATGAACCAACATCACTTCGATAGATCAGTTATTTCGTCCCAGTTTGACACTCTTCATCAGTTCATACCCACAACACCATCGAGGATCAAACCTGAGACATTCAGATTACTAGCTGAAATGCAATCGCCTGTGAATTTTAACTTTGGTAATTCGTGATATAGAGCTAGCTTCGCCAATGCTTTTGATGACATGGTGAACCCCATTCATCACGACCTCTAGTTCACTTTCAGGATACCCATCCAAAGCTATCAGTAAGCTGGAGACTGACTGATACTTGCATTTAAATTAATCCAGATTCCTACAAACTCATCATCTAAATATTTAATTTGGCTGCTGGATTTCATTTCTGTTTCAATGTCGCTCACTCTGGTCGATTTTGGAAAAGGAATGTATCGTATACTATTCAGCCGCTGGGACCTAATTCAATGACCAGCCCATGAATTCTAACTTCTACCAATTCGTGATTTAGAGTGACCACCAACCAGTGTCACAGGTGGGACATCCATCCTCAAACTTGACCTGATGAACTTCACTGGTCACGACTTCTCACTAGAACTCCAGGAAACTCCGTCCTGTAGCAAGTAACCCGAAGGTCCTAGGTTCGAACCCTGGTGGTGGGTGCGTACTGCCGACGATTCCCAAACTACGAGTTCAACTTGTAACCTAAAGCTTCTAGGTTCTATCCGTGTTGGGATCATGGGTGCGTGCTACTCAAGGGTCACAAAGAAGGACAAAACAGATGTCCAGTAACCCTTGGTTTTCAGTAGTTTTCTAACAGAAGTCACTGTGTTCATTACCTCATTCCATAGGATTTTGTTGTGGTTGTTTTACTTATCAGACTATTCAATATGGGTTAAGAGCTGAATTTTTTGTGATATTTCGCATATATTCCCTAATTGATTGAAATACTTAACAAAAATAAATATTTCCCTTTATCTGTAGTCATCATCGTTGTAAAATTATAAATGATCTCATCAAAATTTTGTTTAAACTGCTAACGTAAATCATTGAATGTGTTTTAATGAATTTACCAGATAAGCCTGCTGAGATGATCAACCTGGATAAATCAGCGTTTTATTAAGTGCACTTATAACTAAGTTATCATGTATATTTCTTACATACTAACATAGATACACATGCTACAATATAAAGGTATACGTCAGGGGGAAAATGACTAAAATTTAATGGATGCCGTGTTTAATTAATTATCTAAAGATTTAATTATTCTAAAAACATGTAGTGATGTTTTTGGAATGATAGGCTAGTTCAAATGGGTCATGTGGTGGGCTTTTTACCACCTGACATCTTTTAACAGCAGCTCTTATTCATATATATATATATATATATATATATATACTTTAATATTGTTAAATAGTATTTACAACCTCACTTAAGTTGTGGTATAATGCAGCTTTTAAATGAACAGATTGTTATCAAGGGTGAAAACTACGGCATGTCAACGAAGGTAGCAATAAAAGCGCCTGTCAGTTTAGATTCATAATCTTATTAAGATGATGAGTTAGTGCTGTAAGATTTATATTTCACTGTTTACGTATTAGTTGAAATACAGAAAACACAGCTTTATATTGTTAAGACGGAGAGACCTGCTCTATCCAGCCTTCTAGTTCACGTGATTCTAACATAATATGAAATGTTTTCTATTTCTATGTCCATTTCGGTGATTCGTTCAATCAATAATTTACCATATCCTACTATAATTTCTCACCTTAAACTGTTTGCTACTATTATTATTTTTCATTATATTTTATCTAAAACTCATGATTCCTAGAATACTTGCATTTCGTTTACTTGTTACTGTGTTTGAAACGGAAAATCATTGGGCATTTTTCTGAAAGTAAGTATATACTCTCCATTGCAGAACTCTCGTATGGAAAAACTCTAAAATTATCTTGTTAAGAAATATTTTTGAGAGTGCCGCTGACTGACTGATTGACTGACACAGAAGTGCACCAGTTCAAGTTACCACACTCCAGGTAGCACACAAAAGTAGACAAAAAGGGAGAAATAATCAGCATAAATGTGTGGGAGGAAGAATGTTAACAGAGAAAAATATAACGATTTAGTGGATAAACAGAAAGTGATTACACCTACGGCAATAAGAGCAAATTTGAACCATATCACCAACATTCTTCGGTCATTGGTTCTTGTATCCTAATGGCCTCACAAAGATAGTCTACACCCCTTATATGGCTGACACCAATTGTCAAAGACTTCAGGGACTGATGGCAGATTTTGAGTTGACCATCCATAACTCCATTCCAATCTAATCCTCCATGCAATCAAACAAAATCCCTACAAAACCAATACTTGAAAATTAATCCTACATTAGCTAACATTGATGGACTAGGAAGGTGATGGCTTAGCATGAGAAACACGTGTCCTAGCCATGTCATTTGACTCATCTTCACAATGTTGTCGGTAGAATTACCTTCTTTATCTGACTCTTCACGCCTAACCTCAAAATTTCTCACTATATTATAACACCGATATACGATCGAAAATAGATAATAAGTTGTAAGTAACTTCGCGCCTATCTGTTATTGACACTAATACTCAACGGTTAAGAGCACGCACGTTAGCTGATTAGTTATTTGGTTTGTTAATTAGCCTGTATAAAAGGAACTGTTCTGCTGTTTAGAAAAAACTTCGCGAAGAATGGTGAGGGTGGACATCACTACACATAACATAGTTTTAAAATATTAGGTGAATAGGAAAAGTTAAAAGTGTCATTCAAGTTGAATTGTTGAACATTGGACAACATACATTTAACATATAATTACAATATATAAGATTGTTATCTAGGCAGACCTTTGCCTTTTGTTTAACTGTCTTTCATTCAATCCTATTCTTTACTTTTTAAGTCAATTTGTATACTTCTATTCTTTCAAAACCTAGAAAGTAGATATGAGTGGAGTTTTCAGGAAAGACAATGCAGAAATGCCTTTGTTTACAGTTGGTACTTACTTCACTAGGTATCTAACTGTTACACTAATGTATTCGTATATGCAAAAGTAGGCATGTATGTGTAGTGAAAAAATAGAGTGCACTAACTAGACTGTTATCAGTGATTTTTGTCTGTTTACCTCCAGAAAAGGAGTCTTTTTGTTCAATCCAGCGTGTGAAACATTCTTTTCTTTTTAAAAAATACTACTGTATTAATGATGGAGGGTGTGGGATAAGTGAAGACAGACAATGAAGGCAGAAAAAAACTGAAAAATGTTTGTTACTCTCCATTCTTATCACAATTATCTTTACAATCAGCATAACAATATCGATATGAATTAAAAAATGTTAACATCACCAGAGAAAAACAAATAGAAAGTAAGCCAGTAGAGTCAAATAGAGAGACAGATGGATGAAGTGGAGAAATACGTTAAGTGGTAAAATAAACATTCTTTAAAAAATAGTGTCTAATTTAATTAACGAAAGGCTTGACAAACATGAACCTGTTGTTCTTTTCTAAGATTTTACTATCTCTGTTGTTATTTTTTTTTGTAGTAGAAAGAATAGGCATGTTAAAAATGATGATTAACTTACACAGCTGTGGTAGTAGACACCTTCACGCTACAGGGAAAAATATTGTATACGACAGAAAACTGAACTTACTGAATTGTGTGAATTGCTAAAAAAGGTAATACTGACTGAAGCCTCGAATGTTTGAAATGGCATCATACCATGTAATATAAGACAAACATCAAAATCGAGTTAGCGAATTGTTAAGATTAATATCCATCGTCCCACTTTACTCTTCTCCATGTGCAGATTAAAGGAAAATAAAAGCGTAAAGATTAGCAATCTCCGAGAGATAAAACTATTGATTGCGGATTTGATCAAGGGATGACATCAGTTTGAGAACCATTGGAAAACCAGTATGCACTGAACAGCTGTTTCGTCCTAGTTTGGGGCTCTTCAGGGGCTTGCATATCATTCAGCCATTGGGACCCGATCCAGTGGCCCATGAATTCCTACTTCTGTCAATTCTCGATATGTAGCGCAACCACCAACTAGTGTCAACTCATCTGGAATTCCGGTGAGAGGTCGTGACCAGTGAAGTTCAACGAGTCGGATAAGGA